ACCATCAGCAGCTGGGGGCCTGGGAATATGAGGAAGGTGAAAAGAGATTTTCATAGTTTCTTTTGAATACTCGTATTATATAGTTGAGAATATATCGTATTCCACTAGTGTAGGGAGAAAAAGAAAAACCTTGAGGATGTTGAGTAATTAAGGGCAAACCATTGTACTGCACGCTCTCTGAGGCCTCTACGCGCTAAATGTCAGTGAACGTTGGCAGTTAGTGCCATATAGTTGTCTGCGTTAAAATACTTCTCATTCACATCCTGGGTGATTTTATTCATATTCTTTTAAAATATGTTCTAGGTGTGGAATATCAAACAGATGATCAAGCTGACGCAGGAACACATCGAGGCCCTGTTGGACAAGTTTGGTGGGGAGCACAATCCACCCTCAATATATCTGGAGGTAAGCTTTGGAGTACCAGGCTGCTGTAATTTTGAAAACAAAATAGTGAACTTACTAAAAGCATTTGTCCTGATAATCTTGGTTATGTTGGTTCTTTTTGGGGGTAGAATTGGAAATAGATGTGGGGAGAGAGAATCCACTCTGGCATTATTGTGCTTCTTCATGGTGTTCTGTTTCACTTGTTTTAATAAACATGTATTTTACTTTTGTAATGTGGAAAATGTCAAATAAAACAAAGGGGAAAGTCCTAGCTAAACTTCAGAGTGTTACTCCGAATAATCAGGGGGAAAAAAACAGATTTAAAGAGAGAGAAAGTATATTTTGGTGGTATTAGTTACATATTGAAAATGGAGAGAATTTTGTAAAACCTTTTTTTTTTAGAATGAGCTCCCCCAAAATTGGTTTATGCTTACTTACAGGTAAAACTTGCAATCTTTAGCCTACTGCTGTCAAGTCAATTCCAGCCGTAGCAACTGTGTAGAATAGCACTGCTTCACTAGGTTTCCAAGGTTGTCAGTCTTTACAGAAGCAGGCTGCCTCATCTTTCTCCCGTGGTGACTGGTGGGTTCAAACTGCTGACCTTTTGGTCAGCAGCCAAGTGCTTTAACCATTGCACCACCAGAGCTCCTGCAGTCTTTAAATAGCCCAGCATTGCTTAGCTTTGCTGTTTAAAGGTGCTTTGAGGATCCTGTCACACCTGGAGCACGATTGTGAATTTATGGGGTTTGTCATTGTTGTGGATCTTACGAGGTAGTTAGTTACTGTTGTAGTCACAGAGAAACTTCCTCGGCATGAATTTCCTTAGGTAAGTTGCTCAGCCTCACCACTTAGGAGCTGTTAGGGAAGCCAGGCAGTAGCCGTACTACTCAACACGGCTCGCCTGAACACCACAGCCCACCGCCTTCTTGGAAAGCTGGTGCCACTGTAATCACGGGTCATATAGGGAGGTCACCCTAAGTTCTAAATGCTCATGTGGCCACTTGCCAGAGATTCTTAGGCATAGATGGACAGGCTTGTATGTTTCTAATTTAGTCATCTCATCACTCCTTAAAGGGCTAGTCAAGTCTTCAGTACAGGCATTCCCCGGACTACAAGCAAGGAATGTTCCTAAGCAGTCTGTAAGTCAGATTGTGGTCAGTTGAAACAAGCGCATGTAGTTTTTAGTTTTACTTTAGTGCAGAAAAACGGTGGAAGCCTTTTCCATGATTTAAAAGCTGCACGTGCAGCAAATGAAGGCGGTGGTGAAGAAGACTTGGTTGCAAACAGGGGGTTGGCACATTTACATACATTAAAGGGCAAGTGGGAGTTGTCCCTAAATCAGATGTTTGTAACTCGAGGACTGCCTGTATTTCGTGAGTGTAAGTTTATATTTCTGAAGTAAACTTGGGAATTTGGAAATAACAGCTAATAAATGGTTCTCTTTACCCCCTCTTCTTCATGTGGCTCTTCCCAGATCGCACTGCCAGTTGGTGTCGGGGCC